TCTAATGGGCCTCGTCGATGCGGACTATATGTTCCTCTGGATAGATGTTGGAGGGCACGGACACATGTCAGATGCACAGATCTTCAATGATTCAGAGCTGAATGAGTGCCTAGTAGATGGGACCATTTGTCTTCCTCCAGCAGACCCCCTACCAAATGACGACAGGGACATGCCATATTTCTTCCTGGCTGATGATGCGTTCGCAATGCGGACCAACATGATGAAGCCTTACTCGATGCGCAAGATGACCAAAGAGCATAGGATCTACAACTACAGGATATCTAGAAGGCGTCGCGTTGTGGAGAACGCCTTTGGCATCCTTGCCCAACGTTGGCAGATTCTCCTGACCACCATGCAGCATGAACCTGACACCATACGACTGATCGTCGAGGCCTGCGTCTGTCTTCATAATTTGATGAGACTGCATTACCCTACCATTCAGAATGCTGCCTTGGATGCGGAGGATGTCAACCACCAATTGATCCCAGGTGCTTGGAGGACTGATGCAAACATGCATGAGCTGAACAACATTAGAGGGAACAACCGTGACACCAGTGTAGCCAAGAAACAACGAGAATACCTCAAGCTGTACTTCAATTCACCTGCAGGCTCTGTGCCCTGGCAAGATAGCATGATATAAAAAGTCAGTTACAAAAAAGACAGTTCAAAAGTTCACAAGTACACAGTACACAATATTGTGTTTGAAATAAATATGGTAATGTAAAAAATAAATAAATTTTGTTCTGTTTCTTTTATGCATAATGCCTTGCTTATATGTAATTTCTTAAATGTCCTTAAATAAAGTTATATTAACTTAAACTTAAACAAAAAAATCCCAATTCCCCAAACATAAAAGTCAGACGTCCCCAAACCTGCAAAATAAAATAAACTGCGCACGCGCAGTGAGCGAGTTGCAAACGTATTGAGAGCGTAGTATAAGGGCGCACAGAGCGCACTGAGAGCGCACAGAGCGCACAGAGCGCACAGAGCGCACTGAGAGCGCACAGAGCGCACTGAGAGCGCACTGAGCGCACTTAGGGCAGTGGGAGCACATTGAGAGCGCACTGAAGATCAAACTGTGAACGCATAGGATCGCAGTGAGAGCGTAATAAGCGAGTCAAGAGCGTATACTGTAAGCTACATGGTGTCACACACCATGGTCACACCACGCCATGGATTTCCATGGACTGCGCTTTTCCTCGCGCTTTCATACTTTTCAGGTTGCAGTGGTAGCGCGCGCGTGATCGCGGGAAGGTGTGACAGTGGTATAATTCAGGGGTAGAAATTAACTTTTGAACACGGGAGTCCAACGGACTCCCTACCCTCAAAAAGAGGGAGTCCGCAGCAAAATGAGCGAGTCCGCAGTTTCGGTTTCAAAATTAAAGATATTAACAATAACGCATGTGATTATTTTTAAGATTCATGCATTTCTTTGGACATTAGCTGAAAAAATACCGTAATTCCGCGAGGCTAGTTTGTATGACAGAATTTTCAAGGAGTCACACGGACTCCTGCATATGTCAAATCAGAGAGTCCGACAGTAAATCAGGGAGTATTTCACTCCGGACTCCCGTTAATTTCGCACCCTGTTATAGACACATATATTAACACATATGTAAACTAGACAGAGGGCACTCACAGAGTGCATACCTCTGCCAGCGACATACGCGATACGCCATACGACTCACGAACACACGAATAACCCGCTATATACGCCAGCGTACGGACATGCACAGGCTCCCATGTAACATGTATGTGTTACGAGCTGGCTCGCCGCTCGCTGCTGGCTGCTGCTGACTGGCTGGCCTGCTGCTGGCTGGCTGGCTGGCTCGCTGACTCGACACGCTAATATCGATCGCGTGAACACACTAACACACGAACACACGAGAGCGATCACATAACCTCCTCCAACTCCGTTGGGCGGAGGTAATTATATATGCATACATATACTGCCTGTATGAGTACAAATGCACCTATATACAGTACGTGTAAATAATACCAAGAAAATCACATTTATGCAATTACATTATCGCAAGATTATTTACTTTTATTATATACGTTTCAGGCGGTGCTTGAGCTGTTTGGCGGGCTCAAGATAAAGATAACAGGGACCAGCCTCCAGCCAGACCAGCCAGCTATCATGATAATGAACCACAGGACATGCTTCGATTGGCTCTTCCTCTGGGCCTGTCTGGTCAGACAGACTAAAGTTCGACAGGAGAAAATAGTTCTAAAATCGGAACTAAAGGCGCTTGTAGGGCCCAGTGAGTATCGTGTGTGAGTATGTAGTGTGTGGGAGCGTGTGCGTGCGCCTTCTATACGGAGAGTTAGACAGTCAGATCACCAAAGAATATTGCCAGATGACCCCGTGGTCTATAGTATACAATAGCGCACATTTAATTTTACAGACAGTGTAAAAACTATGTACATAATATAGTGCCTTCAGAATCAGGCCTATATATAATAGTGTCTTCAGAGTTCAGAATCAGTTACGTTTGTCACGCGGACAGACACGCCAGATGCTGGCCAGTCTGGTTTAAAATTTACTGACTGAAGTTATCAATGAGGTGTCCGTACATGGACGCATAACTTAGACGTCTCTCATAATAGATTTGTTCTTGTTGCAGACTGGGGTATGCAAGCTGCATTCTACATATTTGTCCGACAAGGCTTGGAGGCTGACCAGAGGCTTATGCGTAGAATGACAGCTTACCTTTCCCAGATTCAAAGCATTCATCCACAGGTTAGTGCAAGCAACAGTTCGTTTTTGAATTGGCTTCTTAGTTATGGTTAGCTGTTGATGAAAGATGAATCAAGAATACAAAAGAGGCGAACAATAAGTATATGAATGTGACAGTATTGCGTCGATACTAACCCTAACCCTATCACGACAACACTTGGCACCACTACAAAAATACGTCCTTGATGGATATATTCTTGCAATGCGCAAGAATAATTCTCACAGATTTCTTTTCTTCTCACAGATTTCATTATACATGGTTCAAAATGTACTCACAGCTGATTGGAAATTATACACGACACTAGTCTAGTACTGAATAAAAAAACAAGTTTTTATTTACTACTGTTGACATCTATGGAGAACAATTCTCAATCTTCTCTTTTATATGAGATGCGATCTAAAAATTACGTGCCACTGACTCAACGATGATAACCACCACCATATTACATCACTCTTTCCCATCGACCGTTTCAAAATAAGTGTAGTGATGAATGTATTCATCGACCAATTCCTTGTAGGTGCTGCTGTTTCCAGAGGGCACCGACTTCAATGTAAAGGCAGTGGCTAGCAGTGACCGACATGCACGACAGAGCGGGCTTCCGCCGTACAAATACGTGTTACATCCACGCACCGGTGGCTTCGTCTGCCTTGTGCAGGCATTCCGACAGCGTACGTAGTAACATACTAAGTAATGACAACCCTTACAGTTTACTCGTGGTACAAGGTGGTTCCATTAGCTAGTAGGTACAAACAGGACTGATAAAACCTCATTTTACTTACTGTTCCACTTACACTTACTTCCACTCCATTCCCACGTCCATTTATTATAGAACTAGTCGTATTTCCTGTTGTGCTACAGGGCACTCGTCTTTTTCTCCAGATAAATTCGAGCAAAAAATATTTGCGCAAGGAGAGGTACTACAAGACTCAATACCATGCATGCCAACAACGTAGTTCCCGATTTATTGGGTTTGGAACAAACAGGCGCATTGCTAAAACGACAAATGCTGTTGAAAACAATCTTTATGTATGTTATTTTAATAGAATAAAGGGGAAAGACCCTCAGTTCAACAGGACATTTCCTGCAAAACAAACTTCCTTCTTTCTTAAGAGAACGTTGTTAAGCCATAATAAACCTAAAAAGCAAATTTAAACCGAATGACGATTCTCGGCTATTCAGCAAGTACTGAAAATAATGACCTTACAAAACAAATATTTTCACCACGGCACTTAAAACGGGACTACCGCTAAAGCACAACGCACACACCAAAGCAAAACACCTGAACGTGGAGCGAAACATGTATCGCTCGATGTTCGTGGCTGTGTGCGGATTCCCGAAACAAAAAACATTGCTCAGCTGAGCGTGTTTCGCTGAACAAGCAATGTTTGATTCGCGGAGCGTGTTTCGCCTGAGCGTACGTTTTGCTCGGGTGTGTGCGTCAATTGTTCTGCTACACAGCGAAACGCCACAGACGGTCTCCAATCAATATCCTTAAAAATATCACATGACACACAAAATTGGATGGCCATTGGATGGCTATTTTGGATGTCATGTGACAGCGGCGCTGTACGCATGTTTCTGTATGTTTTGCTCAGCTGTGTGCTGTGTCGGGTGGCGTGTCAAACTGCATGCAGCGCCCCCTTCCCACACTCAGGATATACCTATAGTAGATTGAGCCTATGAGCGAGAGCGCCATCTGTCGTGGAGTTTGGTGGAGCAGAACGCCGAGAAAGCCGAGCAGAACGCAAAACGCTGGAAAACAAAATTTCGCGTTTTGCTCGGGTGTGTGCATTGTGCTTTAATGGGGACAATTTCGTAGTTCCTGACATGTCCTGATAAAAGAGAGACAAGATGCACGAGCACCTGTACACCAGTAAACAATCGAACAATAATGTTTTGCTTTATGAACAGATGGCACGCTAACGGCTGTACATGACATGACAATAGCTTACCGTGGCAACTTCCCAGAAAGTGAACTTGACATGATAAGGGGGAAGTTTCCCGAAGAAGTCCACGTTCACATTAGCACATTTCCAGATGACATACTTCCACTAGATGACTCTGGTAAGAACTACTCGTCATGCTAAATCTATTTAGGTATTTCTGGAAGGTGCTACTTCATTAGCAAGAGAAACAAACGTTTAAAACTTGTTCGCTTTTGGTTTGGTTAAGAAACGTGACTGCTACGGTAGCTAACTAATATTTCATCAGGAATAAAATGATAATATGTTACCATTCTACTGCGGACTTCATTGTAACCCCTCTGGAATAGGAAAAAGTACTTTTGTGATCTAATATACTTGCTATGGCATGTGCTTGTTAATGAAATTCCTTTTTTTATCTCCTAATTATGGTTGATCGTGTTATCTCCAGCATACTTTAAATTGAATTTCTGTCTTTACTAACCACAGGACTTCAGACCTGGTGTAAATCCAGGTGGCAAAAAAAGGAAACTAGGCTGCAGAGCTTCTACAGAGATAACAGCTCTCTTCTGCAGAACCAGCAAACTTCCTTGTCGACTGCGTCAGCCTATGAAACAAAACTTCTGCAGAATGAGGCAGTGCATGACGAGAATTCACACAGCACACCACCAGCCGCAGCTGCCAGAACATCTTTGCCGCAGAACAATTCTTCGAATGGACTAGCACCAACTATAAACGGCGACAAACACGCAGGCACAAATTCACCTGCTTTGGGTATACCAGCAGGCGAAATACATCCGGCGAAAGCCTGCACTTTCAAGGACTACGACAACAACATTACTTCATTATATCCGAGTGATGAACCTAGAGACATTGCTCTTCTGCTGTATGTCGCCTTTTTCACGTGGTCGGGTATGCTTTCATTCTGGCTATGGTTACTCATCATGTGTCCACTAGCAAGATGGTACGTCCTATTTACATGTCTCACGATGGGCGCAGTACAATTTTACGCTGGTGGCCTAGCAGAGTTTGAGATGCTAGTATATGAGAAACTGACTGGGAAACAGCTGGGATGAGATTCGGCTAAGGAGTGAGATGCATAAAAAACTACGTTTCGATTCATGGGAAAGATGATACATATATTTATTAATTAATATCAGTCCAGACATGATATGACTTTACCATATTTTGTATTTCCACAAAATGATGTAATTTATGTATGAGTTTTGTAATGTGTCAGTCAGAATTTTGATAACATATGATATCAATAAAGCGAAAAAATGTGTTCAATAAAAAAACTTATCAAGCATATTAATGAAGCAATAACTTGTCATGTCATGTTCCATGTTGTCATGTCATGTCCTTCATGTCATGTTCCATGTGCAAATGCTTGACATTATCCTTAAAAATGAAGTTTCTTGGTGAAATCCACCTGCATAAATTGCTTAGGACTGCCTAAAATGGAATGTACTGAATATAACATTTTCCAGGTAACATTCCCCATTCCTTGAAACTGAACGTTGTTGCTTGACAAACGATTATCTATGCAAATCATTGTAACACCTTAGATTTGCCAAGTTGAGTTGACGGGACAAACTAAACATGATCGTTACTGTACATGGTAGAGGAAGGTAGATCATCAGTCTAGAATCGGGACCCTCCTCTGCCACCGCGAAAACCACCTCCGCCGCCGCCAAATCCTGTGCCACGTCCCCTGCCGCCACGCCCTCGTCCTCTCCCTCGGCCCCGGGCACCCGGCGCTCCACGACCTAGAGGGGAATGAAACAGAAGAGTACTTATCACATCACTCACACGTAACCGATGTACTTACTCAATATTATCAAGTCAGATGGATGACTCTAAGTCCTCGCGTTCAAACTAAGCCCCTTACAGATTGAAAGTTACTTTACGGCACTCTGCCTTCTGTTATTACGAAAATCTTTAAAGCTCATAAATATTGCAGTCGGTTTTAATTAAGTGAAATGTGAGCAGTGTCAAGTGTCTCGACCTACCCCTGCTTCCTCGTCCCCCTCTGCCCTTTGTCCTTGGGCCATCGTTGATCAGCAGTGTGTCTAACGGGAGACTGTCCGGTAGGATGAAATAGCGGATATTGTTGCCACGAATACTCAGCGTTTCTAACTGAACGGGATCTTTGTTTTTTAGTGTCATCTTGACTGTCTTCAAGTGCGTGTTCATACTCACATCCACACCTGTGATCGTTCCATGCACCTGTAGGATGATTAAAAACAGCACTGCTACCGAGTTGTGATAACAACATATAGAAATTATAATGGTTCATTACCTGCCAACATTCTGAACAACATGATGGTAAACCACACATGAGGATTTAGGATATACATGTACATGAATACATATAAGCAAGTAATCGAGCACTAAGTGCCCATATAATAATTTACACTTATGTAGTTAAAGCACTATATAAATGACTATCATGTATTCAGACCATTTTCTAATTTAGCATTCTAACAAACTTACGTGAATTTGTACAGAGAAAAATTTCGATCAACTAAAAACAACAAATACCCATTGTGGATATATTAAAAAGAAGTGGTAATGACTACTCTGGCAAGTACCACGATCAGAGACCCTGCCCAAAAACTGGCAAGTAGAAGAGTAGTGCTCAGCAGTCAGGTTGTGAGACCAGAGATGCCAACATATATTTGAAGCAATCTGTAGTTTCTGGCCATCAAATTAGTAGTTCGAGGGTCACGTAATGACCCGAGTTTGCTAGGGGGGTCCGGCATGCCCCCTGGAAATTTTTTTGATTCTGAGATGCAATTTCCTGCATTCTGAGGGTCAAAAATGACAATAAATTGAAAAAAATAACAATAATTGACAAAAAAAATTTTTTTTTCTATCACAGTCAAATTCGTAGGTCTACTGGTCGTAGTGGTGCAAAAGGAATAGCAAATTCGCATAAATTACGGATAAATCGTAGTGGTTGGCATCTCTGTGAGACTGTAACCTTGATACTTATGACTTTGGCAGCTACACGTACAAGCTTGTTTGTTCCACATATAAAGTAGATATTGCATTACTACTACTAGTGTCGCAAAAATGATACCTGTGTTCCATTCTTCAGCTCAATAGTAACAGTCTCGTGACTGAGCTTCATAAGAAATCTCACCAACTTCATCTTCTTTATATCTATAATAATACACACAGACATTAACACACTAGTAGATAAAAAAACACACAATACTGTACGACATATTTTTGTCTCATGCTGTAATTCAAAGGCTTTAAAAACCATTTACACCTGTTTCAATTTTAGATTTAAGGTTTAAAGATAATAGATATAATTTTTAATTTAATAGATTAAAAATTTCCAAATTTAAGACTGAAGTGAAATCATTTTCCCATTAACTATTCCAATGAATGTTACTACTGATGTAACAATACTAAACAGAATGGCTGTCTTGAGGGATCGATAATACTACAAACTCACTCAAACAGTACAGACTTTGTTTACTTCAAACAGCACATCACAGCACCCCCCTCCCCCCCCCAACCAGCCCCCTCACGCACATGCGCGAACTGGGCATCCTTTTCCGGTCCAGACGAGAAGGGAGATAACTCTCATTAAAGTTGGCATATATACAGATAGTACATAGTTAACAGTCTGGCCAAAAAATAATTGATAGGGCATGAAATTTATATTTTTCGCACCGGCCCATATGGATGGTAATGTTCAGCACATTTTTACCAGTCCACACCATAATTTAGCAGCCCTCACAGGGTGAAAAACTGATAATTGGAGGCACTGGTCCAGCAGGACCAGTGACGCTGAGGAAGTACTGGTCCTGGTCAGTAGGCACTGGTCCAGGATTTCTGTCGTAGCAAAGTGAATGACTCGGATGTGGGGACGTTTTTATAGAGAGGGATGGTGCAATTTGGTGTTGTGCATGCTAAGGTATTCTTAGAAATTATATTTTTTACTCGTTTCGATACACTGATGCGTAGTAAATCGGAACAATTCCGCAAGTCGATTTCAAAGATCTGTGGTCTCTGAAGACCGCCCATTATTTCTATAAATTATCTTATTTTATTTTCGCGATTGCTGATTGCTCGGGATGCCCAGTATTATCGAATTAGCAGAAGTTTAACAGCATGACCTAGAAAATCGAACACAACAAAAATGGAGAGTTTGTGTACTTTGCATGGACTTTAGGCTTCGGAATTTGACTATTTTTAGTCTATATTTGATTAAATTTACCATTCATTTAATTAGAATAATGTAGAAGGTTAGTAGAGAATAACAAAATAATCAGTTTGGTAAATTTTTTATTTCCTGTGCGGCAGCCTAAAAATTAATTTTTTTTACGAGAGCTCTTTTTTGATTTTGTATGAAAAAAAGAGCTCTCGTAATTTTTTTACGGGAGCTATTTTAGGCTTGGGCAGAGCTACTTTTTCATAGGATGATTTTGTTAAATTTTTTATAATTTTGATGCACTGACTCTAATATCATTAATTAGCATTCAGCACTCAGCACCAGTATTAGACTACAGTGTTAAGAAATCTTCAACAAATTACATTCTATCACATTTTTTTATCGCATTTCACTCGACTAAGAAACCAATCACATTCTTATTCAATTTCATTCACACAGACAGACATGCACTACACAGCACACATAGTCAGGTAACAATGTCAGGTGTCACTGGTCATGCCCTCACTCCCCATGATAACCCCTGCGACATATTAACTTATTGTTATGCGGTCATAAAAACACTGGGCTATGCTACATGCCGCAATCGATTTCTTAGACTGTCACGAGGTTTTGTTTGTGTGGCCAATCATGCTTGGAGGATGTTTTGGATACCCTGTCTACGTTCAGGAACGGAGCGTATTAGAATGCGCTCCCGTTTACAAGTCTGTCTAAACTGCCGTTGCGATAACCGTAGTATTTCAGCGTAATATGAGGAGAAAAAGTGGAGGTGAGGGGTTTTAGTATTTTATTTTTAAATACAATTAATTAGGGAGTGTTTAAAAAAAAATCATCTACTATGCTTAGAATACAGCCAGGCCAGCACGTCAATTCACATCCTGACACCCATCCTTTGGAAATTCCACTACTACCTATAGAAACTCAAACTGTTGAAGAATTACTTGTTGTATAGCCTATGTCGTATGTTATATTATTTGACATCAGTGGTGCATTGGCAACAGCCAGCACTGTCTTAAGCAAGAAAAAATGCACCGCCGATTCTCCAGCCAGTGGGTTTTCATGGGCGGATCCGGCTTTTTGAAAAAGGGGGGTCCAGTAATAAATAAAGGGCGCTTTTATAAAAAAAAAAAAGGTGCCGAAGGCAGCTTATGCGACGTGTCTAATGCACGTTGCCACTTAAGGGGGGGGGGGGGTGTTAGGGGGACCTCCCCCCTCAAATTTTTTTTTAAATTGGTGCGTTCTGAGAGCATCTGAGCAGTAATTTTGATGTCTAGAATGCAAGATGGAATTCCAAATTTTTAAGCAGAAAATTATCTTTTATGTGTTTTCCATTTTTTTATTTTTTTGGTAAAAAAGGGGGGGTCCGGACCCCCTGGCCTCTGGATCCGCCCATGGTTTTAGGGTATACTGTAGCCGAATTGTTTTGTACTATTTAAATTCAAATAGGTTGCTTTATACATTAAGTTTCATGTGGCATGCTAAGTAGACAACCAAATTGCCCCGTTATACGATTAGGACCTGGAAAACATGAAACAACATGAGTTAAGCAGTTGAAACCCAATTGCTAGTTGTATGGTGGTACCACGCGTTTGCCTACTCTTAAAACCCAACGACACTCTGGCTTAGTCACTGTGTCTATTTCTGATTTTAAATCGAACTGAGCGTAAGTAGAGCTGATTATATTTTTACTCATTGTCTCAGAAAATGAGGAACTCTGCATGAATCTATACACTGTTATACATGTCAATAGAATTTTGTCTTGGTTGTCTAGATCAACAAAGCATGTTGTAAATCAAATAATGATGGACAATTTACTCAAATGCCCATTAATAGATATATATCCCAATAAAACGAAATATACACCAGCTTCACACTCAAACATTTATTAATCTTTGTCATTGTTAGTAACCACAACGTTACCAGTAAGCCACTTAACTTTCCTCATGTCAGCTCTACCGTTGCCAACTCTGCTAGTACTTGTAGCTAGTTTAGATAATCCACTGAATGCTAGCCTGCACTAAATGATAATAGCTAGTTGTAATAACTGGTAGCAGGTGATGTGCAGATGTCTTACCAGATTGTGCTAATTTTGATCGATGGAGTGACAGTCATTTAAAAAATGCAAAACTAAATTACATGAGATAAATTGTGAGAACGCTTGATGTCAGTTTGTACAGTGCATGCCCAGATCTGTTGTAGATCAGTGTTCATTCTCAGCATGGTAGAGCTGGTGAAACCTTTCATTTACTAAGTTACAATGATATGAATATAGACATATATAGCCATGGATATAAAAAATATTATTATAAATTATCAGCTTATCATGTATTTAGCTATAGTAGCTTAGTATAATAAGCTATAGTAGCTTAGTATTTAGTCAGTTGCACATGTATGTTGCATAATAATGAGTATATATATATATAGGGTTCTTCGTTGAGTTGTATCCCCTCCCGATATATAGATTGAATAATAAATAACCTATGTCATTTTTGGCACTTAATTTTCACTTAATGAATAGGAAAAGATTGAAAAGAAACAGGGATATAAATGTTTGAAAAAGACAGTTGCGATTATAGGCATGTTGATTAGGCAGTTAACTGGTTAAGGTATATGGAAGGATTCATGGGAATGGGATGTCACAGATGAACTTCATCTGTGAAGGTATGTCAGACCTGACACGTGTTAACGACTTGGGGAGAACCCTGTTATGTGATAGCTACATCTCTAAAATTCAAAGTAATAGTTAACATTCTTGCTCGGTGCTTCTGTTTTTAGCTCATCTGACATAGTCAGATGCAGCTTGTAGAATCGCATGATTGTCCGTGCGTGCGTGCGTTCGGCCGTCCGTCAACAGTTGGGCACAAATCTAAACGGCTCGACGTACGGATTCGAAAGTCGGGACGTAGGGTGGTAATCCGAAAACGAGTTTGGATGTCGAAGCTGGGGGTCAAAGGTCAAAGGTGAAGAGGTGTAAAAGAAGGGGGAACATTTCCTCCTTAACTTAAGGTATAGGGAGGAAATGAGAATTGCGGCACAAATCTAAACGGCTCGACCTATGCTCTTAATATTCGGTGTATAGTGTGATGGGCAGGACCCATCACCAGTGCGAAATTGGAGGTCAAAGGGCAGTTGGGGAAAGGTCAGATATTAGACATTTTCTGAGGACATGGCCTAACGGACAGAGTGAAAAAAAAATTTTGTTTCAGGGCTGACCTACCATTTTTATCACTTTATTGAAAGGACCATGAAATGTGCTTTCCACTGACGTGCGAAGAGTAAGTGTTTGATAACCTTTTGACCCTCGTTAAACATCGATTCCTGAACTGCCTCAATGATGTCACAGTGTTCTGATATTCATGGCACATCCATAATCTAGAAAGCCAATAAGCCTGGATAGCCGAACGGGTACAGCCCAGGGGCCCGTTGTCAGAAACAAAATTAGTCTTAACATTAGTCTTAACACTAACATTTTCTCGTAGACTGTCGACAGCACTTTGTTTCATATTGTTACGAGGAAATCTGCTACGATTTTTCATTCAGGTAACTTCGCAGCGTTTCTGACGACGGTCTAAAAGAAAAAGTTAATGTTAAGACTAATGTTAAGACAAATTTTGTTTCTGACAACGGGCTCCTGGATTACGGCTCAAAGGTCCTTGGATCAAATAGTAGGTATTCTAAGGCTAGTAAATGACGAATTTCCCTTGTTTATTGAAGTCACACTCCTTCCCTATTATCTACTTCTGATAATATGCAGTTTCTGCATGATGTATTCTGGTACATTTTCAGTACGGATTCTTATTCTCGTATGATTGTTTATGGTACACCAGACTGGAGCTAATTTTGTAGTTCAGTGTGCACAAGTTTGTAGAGGCTAAACACGTAAAAAGTTGATAAATTTTAGCATGATATTAAATGCATTAATGATACTTTGATATTCTTCAGATAAAACATTAATGTGGGATGTACGATTGCTCATTAATGTTGTAAATAAACATGTAGGTACTCGCCTACACGGCTGAAACCACCGGCTCGGAGGGCCAGTTTTTCAAATGTCACTGGCCCTCCAAATAATGTATCTGCATATATGCCAGTGGGCCGGTAAGAGTAAGACTAGAGTCAGATTATAAATAAGAATCAGATGACAGATGCTGATGAATTTTGACACCGGTCAGTGTGGGTCATTTGTTTGTCTTTTTAACATGGCCATTGTTAATAAAAGTTTCATTTTCAAACACTACGTTATAGCATACTATATTGCACTATAGTTACCTGGTGTCCAAAGAGTACTTTGGTTTAAAAATTAAGGTAAACCTATCAAAGACTTTCTGATAATTCAGCGCCTTTTTGTCGTCGAACACACGCTCGTTGCATTGCGCCCTCTGTTGTCGCTACACGTAACTAGTACCGGGTCAGAGGTCAAACAAGAGCACATAAACCAGAGCAAAAACGAAGGAATTTGTCGAATTTACGTTCAAGTTAGTAGGGGCCTAACACTAAACAGTGACTTTTACTTCATTTCTATACTTTAAATTGTTATGCTATATGTGTAATTTTACTAGTAACAAGAGCACAGGCTGAGAAGTTGAGAGCTCTGCCGGTGTACGTTCTACAATACTGTCAGTAGGGTATGAAAATATATCTACGCATATGATAATTCATTTTAAAATTGATAGGGGCCTACGCCTACGGCTACGGCATAGGGCCGCATACCACATTAGTCATTGCATAAATGCATTATGCTTAGAACCAGGGTTCGAATTTTGGCTGAAAATATAGTGGACAACAGGACCACCAACTTCAGAAAGACTGTGGTCCTGCAGTCCTGCACAAAAGTTGGTGGTTCGCAACAATGATTGGCATGGTTCAAGGATAGAGAACATGGGTCCCAATAAAACCAATGCCATTTACATCAATACGATAAATAAATTTATATCAAGTATAATTAGGTTAGGGTTTGGTTAAGGATTAGGGTAGGGTTAGGCAGCAAAGTTGGTTTTATTGGAACCCATGTTCTCTATCCTTGGGCCATTGGCATTAACACTAACACTCACACTGTAGTCTGTAGCTCCAAGAAACGGTATTGCTAGGGTTTACGAATACGTTTCAAACTTTGCTTTGCCTTAATGTTACGCAAGTATTGGCCAAACGAACACTATACATGCGATATATCCAAATGAATCAGTATTAACGTCACTCTGAACAATCAGAGCGGCATACGGATGCGGCTGGGTTACTAGTACGGGGATTAGATACTCAGCTGACTTGAGACGAATGCAACATAATTTATGGAAGTTCGGCGCGCCATGTTGTATCATTCGACTGTGAGCTAAATCCGTAATGATCGAACAAAGGAAAATTTAAACGATCATGGTAGTCGTCATGTATAAGACCACCCTAATCCGAGAACAGTGTCATCTAAGTTTTACAAATGGCGCGCAGACATTTGTGAACAAAAATTCGTTTCACTTGCTTTGTGTGTAATGCCGGTGAGAGCCATCGTGCAAGCTTATGTCTATTTTCTGTAATAATTATTCTAGCGAGTCTTTATCGTTTCGGGGTTTTCGTGCCTCGGCAAACACTCAGCGGGGTGACAAGCTGATTGGAAAGTTGATATGCTGTGAAATTAGGCGCAGATTATACCAGTGAAGTTCAAGAGATACATTCTAAGATTTAGAAAGGAGGACAACTGTTGAGTTACTGTTCATGGGTTTTCAAACAGGCAAGTCAATGGTGTAATAGAATAGTTTTATTTGAGATTATACAAGAGTTATTCATCTAGATGCTGCAGAGGTGTATAGGTTTTTTGTATGGAAGGGTGTCAGGCTGTATAAAAAAATCCGTCGCAACAAGCTGGTCGGTAGCTATGTAGTCTGTAACAGCATACATGTAACATAGAGTTGCTCAAATAATAGGCGGCTAGTAACTATAGCCTGCCGATAAAAGCTGAGCACGGCTATACTGAACTGATGGGCAATTCAGGTAGTAGAGCAAAAGAAACTTTTTGCGGTTGAAGGATACCTCTTCACGCTTGCCACGGTGGGGTAATCTGTCTATGAAGATCTAAAACGTTTATTTGGCGAATGATCGAATCAATCACTTGTTTTATTTATAGACGAAGAATTTATCTCTATGGCTCAAGCCAAAAAATTTTAGTGAAGAATTTCAGCTCCTAATTATGTTCGGGGCCATCACAAAATTTTGATTCTTTATGTAAAAAATGTATTATTGGATATTTTTCAACTACCAGACGAAGATGAGACTACAAAGATTTTTGCCACAATGTTTAAGCAACAATATGACAAAAATAGATGCGTCACGGAAATTGTCTTTAATTTCACTATAGGTGGGGAGCGGCGGGAGAAAACTGGAAAAAACGTTGAAAAATGCAGTTGTGTGTTTAAAATAGAAATAAATTTTAGCGAATGAAAGAGGCATAACTAGAGTATAAGGTGAGGGACTGGTAATGAGAATAGCTGACCACTATCTTTACCCAAATATGTTACCTTAAACCGGAGTGTAAAATTAAATTAATCGAGTTGTGTAATGCACAGGAAAAATCACCATTTTATACATCGCTACTGGGTCAGACAGATGCAACGGAGAAATAAGCGTTTTTCTAGTTTTTCACATGCGTGACAAACGCGGGGCCTGTTGTGAAAAGATGGTGAACGTATGTGATAATATTAAATAATATGTGAGGTACTTACGGGGCGACATACCATGACTAACTGAACACCAACTTAAAAATATGGTAAAGATGTTCATGCACACCTTGAGAGAATTCTGAGAATTACGAGGTTACATCGGAGGAAGACGCCGGGCGAATCCGCTCATAGGTCGCCCTGAGCCCGTCAACAGAAGCTAATATCAACAAACGCCGGGTCTCTTGTACCCCAGCACGCTACAGTAAGGTGTGTTGCGAGGTGTTAGAACTATTTTGGGCGCTGGGATACTTGTTGGCATCACTAGCAGATGTACATGAATGTACATGAATACATGTAATGGACAGCTGTAGGCAAGGGTTGAACGCTGAAGGATACTGGCTTAATTTATACGTAGTGAATATCGTGGTTGTTAATCTCATTGTCTGACGCTCACCTAAGACGTCAGTCGCGCTGCTTACGGGTGGTTTCAAACCGCGGCTACGGCTGGCGTCAACGAAAAATGGCGGTTTGGCAACCCCGTCACCTGCCCACCCCTCCACTTGGAATACCATTGTGCCCGCTCACATACGAAAAATGCGGTTACAAGTTGGTAAATAATCTTCGTCGACGAGTAATATAGCAAGTACAACATTACCGTGTAGTTTGCGGTTTAATTTTTGTGTTTATAGTGGCTTAAGACATTTGTGGCGGCAGAGAATGTGCTTTATTTGGCTACCGGAAGAGGTTATTAACCGCAAAAAGTTGTCTTTTGCTTACTCCGCTGGAAATTGCCATTAAGTATGTTTCTATAGCCCCTGCGCGGAGCGGAGGCTATAGTTCTAGAGCTAGTCAAATAATATATTTCAAGCTCTAGGAATGTCAGGGGAGCTTCTGGTAAGCGTTTCTTTCGTTTTTCTCCTCCCCAGTCCTCGTACCCTCATGCATAGATCAATCTGCTGCCACATCCGCAAAGTCACAAAGTGCCCTAGAATCTTGAAGTATATATATATATCAGTTTACACTGCTTTAGTTCTAGATATCTAACTGAATTATAATTGTCCACTTTCTACGTAAAGAAAAAGTGACGAATTCAATTAACAGCTTTTGATTATGTGCATGTCAGGTGTCACTGGTCATGCCCTCACTCCCCATTGATAACCCCTGCGACATATTAAGCTTATTGTTATGGCGGTCATAAAAACACTGGCTATGCTACATGCCGCAATCGATTGCTTAGACTGTCAGCGAGGTTTTGTTTGTGTGGCAATCTATGCTTGGAGGATGTTTTGGATTACCTGTCTACGTTCAGGAGAACGGAGCGTGTATTAGAAATGCGCTCCGTTTACAAGTCTGTCTAAACTGCCGTTGCGATAACCGTAGTATTTCAGCGTAATATGAGGGGAAAAAGTGGAGGTGAGGGGTTTTAGTATTTTATTTTTAAAATACAATTAATTAGGGAGTGTAAAAAAAAAATCATCTACTATGCTTAGAATACAGCCAGGCCAGCACGTCAATGTCACATCCTGACACCCATCCTTTGGAAATTCCACTACTACCTAATAGAAACTCAAACTGTTTGAATAGATTACTTGTTGTATAGCCTATGTCGTATGTTATATATTTGACATCAGTGGTGGCATTGGCAACAGCCAGGCACTGTCTTAAGCAAGAAAAAATGCACCGCCGATTCTCCAGCCCAGTGGTTTTCATGGGCGGATTGCGTGGTTTGAAAATGGGGGTCCAGTAAGAAATAAAGGGCACTTTTTATAATAAAAAAAAAGAATGCGCGAAGGCAGCTATGCGACGTGTGCGTAATGCTACTGCCACTATTAGGGGGGGGGGTGTATAAAGGGGGCGCCGATCCTCCTCTGCTAAATTTTTTTTTCATTGGTGTGCGTTCTGAGAGGGCCATGC